AACAATAATGAATACAATTGCTTGCCGATAGGCCAATCACAATTTGGAAAATCTTGGCGAGTGACGACGATAGTGCGGAGACATCAGCTTGAAAGGCGTAGTGCATTTTCGAACCAGTGCATCAAAGGAGAAAACAGAATTGTTTAGACAGTGATAGGAGTAAGATCGTTTACGGATACATACTCAAGAATTTAACTATATGTAGGTATCACTGAGACAAATAGGGGATATGGCGGCTTTCAAGTATATCCAGGACCTTTCTCATACAAATCAACTAGTCATCGTTTGGCTAAGTGTTGACCAGATATTTGAAACAGTTAGGTGAATATTAATCATGCGTGTGATTTGCAGACAGGTAGTGCAGTTTCTAATACTCGATGGAAGTTTGTTCCATATTAACACATATTTTACGGAGGAAACTTTTTAGCGGAGCTTGGTGATGAACTCACATTCTGGTGACATAGCTTTGGCTTGGCCATACTTCTCTTCGGGTGCAATTGGTCATACCACGTGCGCTTTGATATCCCCATCGCATCCATACGGTAGGGGCATTTCCGCGCTACCTTAGGTCTCTCAGTAACAGCGTGCTACCCATTCCGTACACGCTGCTTCGGTGAAGCACTTCCGTGTCACGACCTACTCCATCAACGAGTTCACAGAATCGGACGTAAGAATTATGGAAGAACCTTTTCCGACTGCAGATATCCCTTTTTAGAGCGTCCATGTTTTGCTGCCGTCGAGGTGAGTCGACAACACTATTGCCTTTTCTTCCGTTGGCTTGGTTTCTGTTACGGAGAACCAGCCCACAAGTTGAGACGCGTGGCGCAAGAGTGGATCGATCTACTAATTGGAGATCGAACTCGAGTAAAGATCAAAATGTCAATCTACGTGGAATCAACGGCAAGTTGGACCATGAACTTGAACCGTTTCATTTGTGTTAATATTAATTATCATATCCAATTTTGTTGTGTTAGTGGTTTCCTACAACCTATTTATTGCTCCATGCTCTCATACAATAGAATCAGAATCCCTCGGTCCGGCTGTTCTTGGCGTTCTCGTTTCGTTGCGGGATTGAACTGGTTGGTGGCGGCACAGCAGATTCAGACGGGTTATCCGTAAAGTCAGCAGAAAACACAACACCTTTCTGGCGACAGTCAGCTGCACGGTAACAGCAGGTTAGCCGTACATTCAGCGGCACCACAACAGTTTCAGAAGTCAGCTAATGGTTCTTCCATACTTGACCTTGCAGCGCACTCGACACAGGACTCGTCTTCCTTACGGCAGTGTGAAACTCGCTGGTCGCCTATAGGTCGGTTGACAGCGTGCTGTTGAGTTGGCGTTTTTGATTCCTGAGCATCTCACAGTTTCTACTGCGGCTGATGGCTGAAAAAGACAGGCAATCTTACCTGTGTTGATGGTGAATCTAAACTTGGCTAGTGTCGAAGCGAGAGCTATCAACATGTGTTGAAGCTCATCGTCGCTGTCTGCAAACGATGTTCAATCCCCGACAAAAGACAACCTCTGGATGGTTGTCCCACGCCCCTGGGTTCTCATCTTGAAACGATGGCCGTTCATCAATCCATATTCCATGCTGTTCTCTATAGGTACACCATATTCACAAGTATTGAAAGTACGAAACGACGTGACAATCGAAGTGGCCTTCAGGCCATTTAACACTCACGTTTGGCTGTTTTCTATTAGTAACATTGAAGAAACTACCATTAAATAATAATATTTACAAGGTACCTCTTGCTAGGGCGAATCTATGTTGTTTTACACCGACTCGTTTTTCACGAGAATCAGTTGGTCACTGCGGTACGCACTTCGTCAGGCTAATATTTCTCGCACGATATCCTTTCTGAAAATGAAATTGAATACTTTTGCCAAGTAGTGTCGTACAGCGAAGCCAAGATAGTCATTATTGAGTCTCCATCATCCTTCAGCCAACATAGTGGCATTTGATCTGAGCCAAACGCGGTGTTCCACTTTATTAGCAGAACGTGTCGTTTGTTGTGGATGGTGGCTGTTGTTATCCCGTTACTTACTAAGTTCAAGTAACGCGGATAGCAATCCTGATGCGCCAGGTCGGCTGCATTGCTCTTCTGAATGCTCACCAATCGTTCTGGTAGACATACTTAAAACCAAAACCCAGTTATCAACTCTTTTCAGCTTATATCTCATGGAAAACTTTACTGAACTTAACCTCGACTAAGCTGGAATCGCACTTGCGCCTTTCCAGTGATGATAGCTTAGTTTCACGGGTTTTCGCTATCCACAATCACTTTTGATCAATTCCAAGGTTTCAGTCTTACAGCGTTTGTGGGTGTTATGATGGAGACACCATCCGTGCCTCTATTAATCGAAGATCCACTTATCTATCCATTATTCAGACTTGGACGCTTAGATGCATCGATTGCTCTGCATTGTGCGTTGGAAACTAACGTTGCAATTCAGCTTGAAGTATTCGTTTAACGAGCTATCGATGGAATTGGCAAACAACCACTTTCAAATTCTGGCAGTACACCAAGGCTAGCAAATTAAGTGCTCAGCAAGCACGTATGAGATCTTGGTCAGATTCGAGGCAAGTGCTCCTATGCTTACCATAGATGTCCATAGCGGATTGCGATACGATCAACTTGAGCTCATTGCTGCTTGTCGTTGGATGGTCACCTTGTGACTCAATGAGTGCGCTTGTACTGAAAAGCTGGCTTGTTGGTACAGAATTGTTGATCAACGCATGACGGAAGCAAGCAATCACTGTTGCCTATAATGCAAGTTCCTGCTCCGAAACGATCCCTGATTTCGTGTTTTATTCGTGGTTGATGCCCTATTTCAGCACTTATTTCCTTTGCCATGATATCTTTACCTTTGGTTGGTCAAATTATTCAAAGATTCGATGTACTCATGAGTAGGGGATATTTTGATGTAATTAAGTGCAAAGATTGTACAATTGATCTTCTACAGCCTTCGTGCTGCAGTCAGTAGGTTTACCAGCCTAAATGGGCTGTGCACAGCTGCTGCTTGTTGACTCAAGTGGCGCTTCATAGCCGAATGGCACATAAGCAGCTGTGTAGTGTGATCCAGTTTAGAGAGTCAGCTTACGTGTGCCTGCTGAAAGCAGTTCCAATACCGCAGATTACGGACACATCATTAATGTAATCAAGAAGTTTATCAGTCTAGTCATTGGCGCTCTAATCCAGTAGGCATGGGCTTGTGTCGAATTACATGTGATTTGGCTTGATTTCGCTGGCGATAGCGATATTCTGAGCAAGATTCCTTGTTCTTCAAAGTGTTCGCCCTAACACTAAAACTGACACAACCGAAAGTGGATTTATTATGCCTCCTTCGCGGTTATATCATCTGCGGGCCTCCTGGACCGGTGTGCGGGTCTGTTCATCACTGGTTTTCCCTATGGCGTTGTCCTTCTCCATCTCATTCACCGTCGGCATCTACCGGACATCGTGTCAATGTCCCGCAAGTATGCTGAAATTGACCTTCTAACGGAGCCAAATACCTCTTGCAAACCGATCTATTTGTAATTGCACCTTGTTTGCCATCTAGTTGTCAGATAAGCATTTCTGATCCTCTTTGACGTTGCCCATTTGGATGCACGTTCCCTAGGTGTTGAGTCCTCTTTGCTTGTTCCTTAGTAACGAGCAAAGCTCAATTTCTGAATAGCGCTATTTCTTCTGTGTTTGTGCACACAGGCGACGAGGTGCTCTCGAATTTGAGCACTTCACCCAAATTCAGTAATAGTAGTTATGCGAACACGCAGGAGCGCATGTTCAGAATGGAGGTAATTCCCCCTGCTACAAATTTGAATCCACAGCAGTCTGTCATTCCATGGTGACTATGCAACTGTATACCAACGCATCTTCTGGAGCCGTGTTGCCTTACTATAGTTTGTGCTCAACGCATAACTGGGGGAGTGCGGCCGCCATTGTCACTACCACATGCAACGACTTCGAAGTGGCATAAGAAGCGATGTGCTGACCCCGATGACAAATGCCTCTTTCGTTCATGCCATGTACAACAGATATTCCAGTTATAGAAGAAACTTATTCATAGGATTAATAGTTGGTCGTCTCCTGGATGCGGTATTTTTCGAAGTTAGGCCGATATTAGAACCAAACACTGCATCTACCGTTTCTGCCTACTGGATCCGAGAGGGCCCCAAAATTGTATCGCACATATGCGAGTATTCATTGGAATCACTTCTTGAACGATATCACATTTTGAAGAAGTCTCATGGTTATCATCGTTTTTCTTTTGATTTCTTTTACTTTTTTGATGGCGCTTTTCTGGTTATGTGCGGGTTTGTTAGCGGGCTGTCAGGCTCTAGTCGCGGCCTTGGTCTGGTACTAATTCCCACCGAACTTGGCGACGTCGATACCAGTGTGTGCTTTTCGGTTACTTCGTTGGCCGAATGACTTCGAGAAGTATCGAGTGTATGTGTGTTTGTGTGGAAAGGAATCCATCATTCGGTTCACTCTGGCAGTTTTTATTCATTTTTCTCTTTACACGGAATGCCTATGGAACCCGTTCGCTCTTGCTGACGTATGGCAATTTGTTCGTTGCACTTTGAAACTGTGTCCCAACGACCGTTTCTGCTGATCAGTAGTGCGACAGACTGTTTTAATTTTTATAATGATGATGATTCAAACGGGTTCACTTGTTTCTTCGAGTATAGTTACTTCAACCCCGAGTTTACATTGAGTTTGTCATCAATGAAGCTCTGGTCGTCAGTCCCATAACAATTTATATGACAACCTTATATTTCATACAATCGAAATTTGATGGCGTTGTCCAGGCTGTCTTATGGATAGCTAAACATTTGTCTTACTCCTTTTGTATTTTTGACTATGGAGCGAATGATTCCCGTTCAGTTCCCTTTGTTACCTGCACATTGGCCCTTACCAGCTGCTTGCCTTTCGTACTTACCCCTTGTCTTTGATCACGTTCAAGCTTATTCCTTACACAGTGCTCTGTAATTTCTTTTTATGGTTTCAGTCTCGGTGTACCTATGGAACTTATGTGGCAGATTTATCCAGAAAACGTTACAAGACACTGACTCGCAAGTACCTGCTTTACTTCTGGTGCGTTGCACAACTTGCTTCCATACCTACATATTTCACCAGTCGCTACGACTGAGTCTGCCTTGTTTGAACTACGCTTAACCTCGCAAGAACATTATCGTGATATGCTTCGCGGACGCAATAAGTACAAGTCATTTGGGACTTTTTTTGGTAGACATTTTCTGGGGCTGATCGAAAGGAGAATCGCAACCAGCATTAAGGAAGCAACGTTGTACAAACTTTAGGTTAATAACATAGTCTCCCCACGGTTACCAATTTGACCTTTTTGCACTTTTGAATTTGATTCACTCTAATCTTTCTATATCACACGAGATGCATACGTCTGGTACGCATGAAATCCCATTTAGGTATGAATGCTTCCGCTCTGTTTGTTGAAGGAGTGTGTGCCGACTACGTTGATTAAACCTTCATCTCGCTCCCATTCCTTCACGTTTACACCGTATATGGGTATGTGGACGGAGCTGTGGGTGGTACCGCGCAAGTCAGCCATGGTCCCTCTGTAGACGCAGGCGTCCTATGGTTGTCTCTGTGGAGGTCGCAGTAACAGGCAAATCCTGAACCGAATGCGGCCAACCATACTTATATATATATATATATATATATATATATATATATATATATATATATATATATATATATATATTTATATATATCCAGGCAAATCCGAAACCGGATGTCGCCAACCATGTATGTATGTGTGCCCCATGCTGAGGCTAATGTTGCATTCATGATGCTTCTTCACCACAGCTGGGCTAAACCCGCTTACACTTAAACTAGGTATTTTTTAATGTGAATATAAATCATTCCACTTTATTTGGTTTGTTCTGCGTACTTGGTAATCTCCTCCTATCTTGCACACGTCAATCATGCAAATCATGGTAGTAGTAGTAATTTTTAAATAACTTTCGGACATTTTGTACTTATCGCGGATTCACTTATAACCAATTTACTACAAACGTTTATTTAGCGAGTATTTATTTCGTCATATACGTTGACTTTATTCGATGTCTTTTTTTGATACCGGCATTTCGAGTGATTGGCTGTTATTTGACATCCCAGGTGTGGCTGCGCTTGATGTGCATATTGACAATGTGCCTACATGCCTATTAACCACTACCTCATCCATACTGGCTCCAGGAGTCAGTTGGTCGTTGCTGGAGGGGACAGGGTGCACTGTCCTTGTGGTCGTGCTAGGCTCGAAGAGTGGTTCCACGCAGTCAATGTGGAGCGGACTACAGTCCAGCCACCGCCTTGTGTGCGCTTGACTCCCCAAATGCAACGTGCTTGTATTTGTCTTTGAAGGAGTGTGGGCCGGCTTTGTTGATGAAACGTGGCTCCCATCCGCATGCTTCCCGGTCTTATTCCTTCTGCTTTACAGTGGATATGGTGTGTGTGGATGAAGGTGTGGATGGTGCAGCGCAAGCCATCTATGGTTCTTCTGTATGCACAGGCGTGCTGTGGCTGGCCATAGTGACAGACAAATCCGAAACCGGATGTCGCCAACCTTATATCTCCATCGCAATGAACCTTATCATAGTGTGATGGTTTGTGTGCTTCAGAAATCCATTGAGCTATGCTGCGTGGTACTTTTTTGCACTCATCCCAAATTGGTCAATGATTAGAGACCACACAAACTCAGCCTCGTGGTCCTCAAGGTTGGAGGTTAGAATGTGGTTGGCTCCTTATTCCGTAAAACGGACTCCTTGTAGCCCAACGCCAAACCCACTGCCTTGCAGTCAGGTTTTTGAACACAAGGCTTTTGTTGAGAACCCTAGTCGTCCTCCTGTCTAGTATTGGTCAACCTGGCAGTATCCTGCCCACGCAATACTTTAAATCTTCCGTCAAACAATTTCTTCATGCTCTGGACACCGCAGACGACAATCAGCGGTGCCCTATCGACTGCATCGAGCAGGGTGGATAGGGGTTTGGATGCTACTGCTCAAGCTTTCCCCTATTATTCACTCTCTTACGCTTTTTCACCATTATGGTCTCGTTCCAGCTTCACTTTTATCCCCCCAGTTTTCATCCCCCTCCCCCAACATGGGTTGCTAGGCGTTTATCTTCTAGTTTTAACTCATGTGAACACGGATCATCACTTCTGTCCTGTCGACAAGCCAGCAGCACTTTCTCATTGCGCCTATCCGGTGATGATGCAACTTCGAGCCCCGGACAAGGTGGTGTCAGCATTGCTCTGAGTCCACGGGATGAAGCTGCTCTGGTTGATTAGATCCCAATCGGTAGACGGATATGCGCGGTCCGATTCGCTACCTCCTTCAAAGCTTCGAGATTACGCGGAACAAATGGTTGTCTATTCGTCATCGCTGCCTATACACCCACAAACTGTAGCGATGACTCGGTAAAAGACGAGTTCTATCGCCAACTGAACTAGCTTCGCCACAGGAGGAGTCCAAACACTGTAATGCTGGCTGGGGCTCTGAACGCTCAAGTTGGAAAATTATCCACTGATAAACTGCATCTGGACGGCCAACATGGTGTAAGCTTCCGTAATGATAACGGTGAGCAGTTACTTCTTTTTATGAAGATGCTTGTTTATTTCTTACGAGCACTATATTCTGACACAGCACGCGCCGGAGGATGACTTGGCGCCCACTAGCCGCAAACCAGCTATGGTCACAAATCGATTACATTACGATAAGCTACCACTGGAGAGGCTGCGTCCAGAACTGTCGCTCAATTTGGTTTACGTGTGTGGCCACCGACTATGCACTTATATGTGCTGACCTGCGGATGCGTTTTGGCGGACGCGCACGACGCCATTATGAGCGCGTTAACATCAGCCAACAGGCAAAGCCAGCTCTTCTGTATGCCTATCAAAGTACACTGTCTCGCGAATTGAGAAAGCGCTCACTGGAGACAGTTGATGCTCACTGGTCGCATGTTCACCAGACCTTATAGCACCAGGCAAATCCTCGTGTTGAGTCTAATAGCCAACATAGACACTGGGTCTCTTCGCGGTCTCTTGAACTTATCGACGTCGCCTGCATATCCCGGCTGGAAGCGAGCACAATGAAACTCGCAAAGAGCTCCGGGCGAAACTCCGTGCTAGCCTGAAGAGAGACCGCGAATCCTGGTGATCTCATCGTGCAACAGAGATGGAAATGGCCGCTGCCCTTGGTAACCATCGTAAGTTATTCCGTCTGATACGGGAAACGGACATCAGGAGATATGATGTTAGTGAAACCATACGTGACGAGAGTAGACAGCCTATCCACAATTTGTAAAAACACTTGGAGCGTTGGCTTGAGCACTTTGTAAAGCAATTTAATCGGCCGGATTTGTTAGATTACTCTATGACCGCTGATCGCTCCGTCCCGTGGACTGTCCCTTTGGATCCACCCTCTCGCTCAGAAGTCGAACGTGAGATCGGACTGTTGGACTTAAATAAAGCCGCGGCACCAGATGATCTTCCTCCAGCCCTCTTCAAATTCGGAGGCTCTGCTCTTGTGGATGATTTACATGAATTACTACTGAAACTGTGGGAGCAGGAAACTGTCCCAAACGACTGGAGCCGCTCCGTTATTGTTACCATCTTCAAAGGAGATTCGCGTTCGGTATGCGGCAGCCATAGATGAATCAGTCTGGTTTTCAACGCCTCCCAATTCATCATCATCATACACGTTAGCTAGAGGTGGGAAACACCTCAGCTACTGTGCCGCAATACATAAAAAAGAGAAAAAAAGCAACTGGTGCAAGCCGGCTGAGCTACCGGTAACAGATGGGCATCGTTCTGGTAAGCTATAAGCCGGCTACTGTACATCAAAAAAATTGCTGTGCAAAATTATATAAGGCTAAATGATGAGATCGTGGTTGGAGGGGGAGGCTAAGAGGGATGGGGTGGGACAAAGAAACTCACAGCATGAACGCCATTGAGGTCGGCTCCTTGCGATGTCAGCAAGTGTGTTCAGCGAAACGTGTTCATCGTCTTTCGGACCCCAACCAGGGAGCCGAGACGCTCCAACCGAGGCCAACTGAGAATCGAGGGCCTTCATTCCTCTGGACCAAGTCATCGCTTGGCCACCCCTCCTCTTCTTCCATCCACACCCCCGGCATGCAAACAACGCACGTCGCGGGAGTCGGTGGGCTGGCATGCGTAACATGTGGCAAAGCCATCGGAGCCTGGTGCGTGAAATAACGGTGCTGAGCGGTTCATTTCCTTTTCCTGTGCCATAAACAAGGCGTCGAACACGCTCGTTGCTCACGCAGTGTTCCCACCAGATGTGAGATAAATTGCGAAGGCACCGGTCCGCTGCTTTAAGGGGCCAGGTTTCACAACCGTACAGTAGGGTCGAACGTACGCCTCCCAATTACTTGCCTTCGTAATCCTTCACAGATTGACTGGCACTCATGATGGCCATATTCGTAAATAGTAAGCGGGGTTTCATCGAGGTTTTGGATGCGTCGATCACATCTACGCTTTGCGTCAGTTGTTGGAGCACCGTCACATATATTATCGACCCACAGTTGTCGTGTTCCTCCACATCAAAGGTGCCTTTGTTTCGTTTGATCGATGTGCCCTTTGGAATTGTGTACCCAGGAAAGTGTGCCCGAGAAATATGTAAATATTATCCGAGCATTATACGCGCGTAGCACGGGCAGAGTGAGGGCTCACGGCAAGCCGTAGCCGCTCCTCAATATCTCCAGCGGTGTGAGACAAGGATGCGCGCCCTCACCTTTGCTCTTCAACTTCGCTATTGACGAAGTCATGGAGATTGCATTTACAGGACACGACTTAGGAGGTGTGAAGCTACTCCCAGGAGAACGACTTCTTGACTTGTAGTAGGTAGACGATATTGCACTCATCTGTGACAGCTCCCAGACGTGCCAAGCGGTACTAGACATATTAGCACTGGCTGTCCGTCACTTCTGGCTTTTCTTCGCACCATCGAAATGAGAAGCGTTCTCCAATATTGGCAGGGATCGCCTCCTGCGCTGACCCTTGGTGGGGATCAGCTAGATGGCGTTCGGAAATTCAACTACCT